TGTGACTGCTTTGTAATTGCCAGATAATGGCCGGCAAAGCCCAAAATATCTACTATCTGTCTCTTCAAAGAAAAAGTTTGGGATGCCTGTACTGAAGGTCATACCTGGCACTTTGCTTGCTTTCTCTCATGCACATTATCTGCTTGACTGTTTACCAAGTTCTGCTTAGGTACATGGTACTGTGTTGGAAATATTTTCAATTTGCTCTCGTAGTGTGGGGAACTTAAAAAAATGAAACAAAGATATAAACACTGATGGATATATAAAAATGCACAATAGTGGACTGTTGGACATTAAAGACCCAGGCACAGCAGACAAACCAGATCAGTCCCAATTCAAATCAACTCAAAGAGAATGCATTTCAGGAAAGATTTAGGAACCTTGCTTGCCCCAGGCACAGTGACCACAGGGCCCAGGAAAAACTGAACACATTCTGCCTTTCACCTCTGACACCTCTTTGAGCTTTCCGGGAGCCCCTTTCTCTGTGCAGGCAGGTTTCCAGGTCATGGTACTGGAGGCAGAGTCGAAGTACAGGCACGGCTGGTGCTAACCTGCAAGGGAAATAACATTTGTTTTTGTATTGTTCTGCCCAAAGTTTCTGGAATTTGTCAGTTATATGGACTATGTAATAGGGGCCAATCAGCTCAGTGAAAACAAGCTTCTGAAAGGCAGAAAGGTTAATTTTAATAAAAGGGGCCAGTCCATGCCTGGGTATAACACTGAGGTTGATCTCTCTCTCCCTTTTCCCTCCGAGTCAGGGCTTTCCAGTTGGCTAGCTTTCCAGTAATTGAATCTGAAGGTTGAGTCCTTGTTCTCTAAGAATTGCCAATGGAGCCTTGTAATCCTCTTCTGGTCTCCTCAGTGCATCAGGACTTTGGTTTATTGACATGTAATTAGATCAGACTGTCACTACATCAATGTCAGTGTAAACATCACGGAGTAAGCAGCTGATCCTTACAAGATCTCCACTGGGATGCCAACTGGCTTTGTCAACACGCCAGTTGAGGGCTGTATCTCCTTTCCGATGTCGGATTCCAACAATTGCAGGAGCTGTGACAGTGCAGAATCTGACATCGCAAGACTTTTCTATTGACATCTTGACTGTTCTATTACTTTCAGCATTGAAGGGCACCAGTGACAGCAGTGTAAATAAGGCAGGGACATGCAAATTCCACCCTCCTGTGCATTTCCCGCCTCTTCGTGTGCCACTTCCAGGAAGAAGTGAGTTAAGCAGAAAAACTAGAATGTAGAGAGTACCTGAAATGCCCATTGGCTATAGTGTTTCAGCTTCTCATTGCCCTGACTTTTAATTTATGTAAATTATTTGGGGAAAGAAGCTTAGTTTCTTATTCTGAGACAACCAGTTCAACAGATGTTTATTGATTCACCCTAACTGATCAGTGGAAGTATGCTATGGAGATAAAACGTAGAAGTCCCCAGAGACCTGCTTATAGATTATTCCTTACCTCTCTTGACAATGATAACGAACATTTGCTGTGGCTACTGTTTGTTGAACATTTGTTGAGCATTAAATGTTGTGATAAGCATTTGCACCTATCATCTCTTTTATTCCCTATGAACCCTTAGAAGTAAGTACTCTAATCATCCTTATTGTGCCAATGAAGTAACTGAGGCTCAGAGACGTTTACTGTCTTGCTACATGTCACACAGTGTGGAATCCAGGTGGAATTCAGGTCTGTGATTATATCACTTACACTTGTAGCCATTGGCAACAGAGGGATTTTCATCTGTTGTACTTTGCATGAGCACTTCTAGCAATGAGTAGAGAATAAATTGAAGCAGTTCTAATGAGGTCCAGTAGGTAGCCCAGACTCAAAGCAAGAACACTCAGCCCCCAAGGCGTTGACCTCTGCCAGGCCTGACCAGCAGCCCCTAAATGATGGATGAACAGATTACTCAGACACAGTTTGACTGTGAAAGAGAGGGGGCTAAGGGGGCTTGCCCAGCTCTAGTGGCCAGAGCAGCCTCTATTGCCTGCCTCCTTAGGCCTTTATTGGAATTTTCATCTTTAGATACAATCTGAGTAATCTTGGAAGGACACAAGATTACTAGGCAAGGACACAAGAATTAAGCATAAGGATTCCAGTAAACACCCAGAGGTCTGCACATGCACAGACTTATTTGGAAAGGTCAAAGAATAATTAGGGGCACTGCCTTCTACACTCCCCTAAGTCTCCCCTAAGTCGAGATTCCGATAAACAGGGCAGGCGGCCTTCCATACACTTCCCTTTTCTCAAGAATGTCCTCCTTACAACTTTCCAACCAAGTCTCTTAGGCTCCCCAACAGACCTCCAGATGGCTTCCTCTTATGTGCAGGAGAAGTAGGCTCCCAGAAATGGTTATCCCTAAAGAAAGTTAAGTCTTTTGTGGCCCCATTTTCTTCTCGCCTGTTTGTTTTTGCTATTTTAATGATTGGTTCACTGGGCTGTCTAAAACCCTTCTGGGGTAGCCATAGCAGAACAAGGTGTAGAGCAGATGGAAGAGGGGATCCACTCAGGAAAATTTGTATTTTAGGTGGAGCCGAAAGCAGCCTTTAATTTCCAAGAGAAACTGCAAAGAGCTCTTGTTATGTTTCAGTCTGATTTCTCCTGCCTATGCGAGTAGCTGGCCCTGATGAGATGATGCATGTAATTAAGAGCAATGTTTTGCCCTTGAAAAATTTTTTTAGGAGAATTTATGAAACGTTAAGAGGTTTGGAGACAAAATAAGAGAAAGAACCAATGAGATAGTTGTATTGTCTTTTTTGAAGGGGTAACATCCTGGGCAGAGCTTTCTATGCGCGATGACCTTGACCAGCTGTGCCTGCCTACCTTCTGCCACAGCCTGAGGCAGCCAGACCCAGGGTGTGGCAGGGAGGTGGAGGCTTAAGCCTCAGAGCCATCCTGAACTTTAATGTCCTTGGCAGCAAAATGGCGAGGACTTTTGCCTTGTGAATCCCCTATCATGTGATAACTACCTATTGACACATTTAATTTTAGTACCAAGAGGCCTTTGAAGGCGACAGAAATGCTTTAAAATGTCACATCAATCAGTAAGGCATATGGCATTTGATGGAAAAAGCAAATAATACATCTTATCTTTCTTATGGTTAATGTACATTTTATTTTATTAATTAAAGAAAGTTGGAAAACAGAAATATGTGCTTGCTGTTAAAAAAAAAAAAAGTTAAACCAAGAAAAGTATACCATAAAAGTAGTTCTGTTCTCTAAAGGAAACTACGACTACCAGGTTGCCACATATTTTTCCAGCAATAATCTGTACATCTATAAGCATAATAGAGGCCCGGTGCACAGATTCGTGCACTGGTGGCATCCCTTAGCCTGGCCTGCGCCCTCTCACAATCCAGGACCTCTCAGGGGGTGTCAGACTGCCAGTTTTGGCCCTATCCCCGCAGGCCTGGCCCCACAGGTGATGTAGTAATACGCGAAGTGATAGGCTGCCAGGGAGGAGCCTGAGCCCAGGCCAGGTGCCGCTCCTGCTCATCCCTGCCCCTCTGGGCCTGGCCTGCCTCCACTCAATAGCTCTGCCACGAAGGTGGGAGAGGCTCGGGCCGCCACACTTTAATGTCCTTGGCAGCAAAATGGCGAGGACTTTTGCCTTGTGAATCCCCTATCATGTGATAACTACCTATTGACACATTTAATTTTAGTACCAAGAGGCCTTTGAAGGCGACAGAAATGCTTTAAAATATCACATCAATCAGTAAGGCATATGGCATTTGATGGAAAAAGCAAATAATACATCTTATCTTTCTTATGGTTAATGTACATTTTATTTTATTAATTAAAGAAAGTTGGAAAACAGAAATATGTGCTTGCTGTTAAAAAAAAAAAAAGTTAAACCAAGAAAAGTATACCATAAAAGTAGTTCTGTTCTCTAAAGGAAACTACGACTACCAGGTTGCCACATATTTTTCCAGCAATAATCTGTACATCTATAAGCATAATAGAGGCCCGGTGCACGGATTCGTGCACTGGTGGCGTCCCTTAGCCTGGCCTGCGACCTCTCACAATCCAGGACCCCTCAGGGGATGTTGGACTGCCAGTTTTGGCCCCATCCCCGCAGGCCTGGCCCCACGGGTGATGTAGTAGTGCACGAAGTGATAGGCTGCCAGGGCTGATTTTATTAATTAAAGAAAGTTGGAAAACAGAAATATGTGCTTGCTGTTAAAAAAAAAAAAAGTTAAACCAAGAAAAGTATACCATAAAAGTAGTTCTGTTCTCTAAAGGAAACTACGACTACCAGGTTGCCACATATTTTTCCAGCAATAATCTGTACATCTATAAGCATAATAGAGGCCCGGTGCACAGATTCGTGCACTGGTGGCATCCCTTAGCCTGGCCTGCGCCCTCTCACAATCCAGGACCTCTCAGGGGGTGTCGACTGCCAGTTTTTGGCCCTATCCCCGCAGGCCTGGCCCCACAGGTGATGTAGTAATACGCGAAGTGATAGGCTGCCAGGGAGGAGCCTGAGCCCAGGCCAGGTGCCGCTCCTGCTCATCCCTGCCCCTCTGGGCCTGGCCTGCCTCCACTCAATAGCTCTGCCACGAAGGTGGGAGAGGCTCGGGCCGCCACAGGTGTGCTTGCCAGCCGTGAGCCAGCATCTAGTGCCCATCAGCTGAGCGGTGCTCCCACTGTGGGAGCGCACTGACCACCAGGGGGCAGCTCCTGCATTGAGCATCTGCCCTCTGGTGGTCAGTGAGTGTCATAGCGACCAGTCGACTGGTTGTTCAGTCATTCAGTCGCTTGGGCTTTTTTTAAAAAAATATATTTTTATTGATTTTTTTACAGAGAGGAAGGGAGAGGGATAG